GAAGCCCTGGTTTGTCAGCACCTGTCTGTGAACCCACAGAATTACTTCCTCTACACTTGTATTATCTGACTCACCTCCAGTCTAAGTTCCAGGGAGAGCTTTACAATAATAAAACAGTCAGTCATCTGGATGAAATCACTTCCCCAATATACTTGAGATCTGCCATGGTAAAAGGGCAGCTTCAACTGTCCCTCTTATGTCCAGGCTTCCACAGGAAAAGTCTTCACGGAAAGCATGTGGGCTCTGCTGCAGACTCCATTCACTGTGGCTCCTCTGGGGCTTCCTGCTTACACTGCTTAGCTGGAGCTTTTTCTTAGTATCAAGAAGCATTTCTTACTCCACTCCCAGTCCCCAGAAGGGTCATCTCAGCTCTGCTTTCCATCATCAGGTGGGCCTAATCTGCACTACCATCCTAGAAGAGAGGTGACAGATCTGCTCCAACTCTGATAATAAATGAAGCTGGGACATGATCCTGAACCCACAGAGATGTAGTAAGAAGGGCCCTGAAATAATCAGACAGAAACTATATTATTTAAATCACTGCTTAGCCCATTAGCTCTAGCTTCTTATTGGCTAACTTTTACATATTAATTTAACCCATCTCCATTAATCTGTATATTGTCATGTGGCAGCGGCTTACTGGGTAAAGTTCCATTCAGCTCCAGCAGGGCTACATGGCTTCTCCCTGACTCCACCTCCTTTCTCCCAGAATTCTGCTTAGTTTTCCCTGCCTAGTTCTGTTCCCCTATAGCTCTGCTATAGGCCCAAAGCAGTTCCTTCATTAACCAATGATATTCACAGCATACAGAGGGGAATCCCTCCTCACAGAGAGAAGTGGGTACACCGGATCCCTGTATAGATACCTGGTATCTAAAGAGTTAGCATGCCTACCTCATGTACCTGTCCCTACAGACCTCCAGAAACCTCTCTTTCTGGTTGGTATTGGTCCAGTTCAACCAATACAGCACATGGTACTGTAAGGACAGGAGTCAAATGCAGGTGCTGGAGAGATGTCTCATAAGAGCATTTACTGCTCTAATAGATTTTCTTAAAAAGAAATTTCTCTTTACATGTGTTTTTCTTGGATTTAATTACATACCTAGTGCCTATGGAAGTCAGAAGAAGGGACCAGATCCCTTTAAACTGGAGTGATATAAAGTAGCAAGATTACCTGTGGGTGCTACGAACTGAATCCAGATCCTGTATGAGAGAAGTATGCTGCTATTGTCCACTGGATCATCTCTCCAGCTTCCATGTTGTTTTATATTATCTCTCTCACTTGTGGGGTTTTCCAGCTTGTTTTCAGTCAGCACTTTCAATGTGGCAGCTCACTGACTTTTAGTGTCCAAAGATTTTCTTCTATAAAATCTGTTGGTAGTCTTTATTATGGATCCTTGTATAATAAAAGGTAATTTTTCTTTTCTGTTTCCAATATTATTCTTTGGTGATAATTTGATGTATAGACAAAATTCTTGTTAGTTTTGATTTTTGAGACAAAATCTCATAATGTAGCCAAGGCTTAAGATAGATTAAAAAGTCAGGGGAGCGCTTGGAAAATGAAGTGGGGCAGAAACAAGATAAAAATAAAGAGATAGCCAACTTCACAAAGTCGCCTTCTGTCCTCCATGTGAATGTTGTGATATGTATCCACCACCCCCTACCATATACCTATGCAATAATAATTTTTTTTTATTTAAAAAGCCGCACATTTATTTCGCTTTCTGACTCTGCGCTTGTGCCTTCAACACTTTCACAACAATTTTCTGCTCCTCAATAAGGAAAGCCTGCTTGATCCTGTCACGGACACACTTGGCACACATGGAGCCACCATAGGCCCGGTTGACATGCTTCTTTGTCTTCGACAATCTCATGAGGACTTTCGGTCTCACAGCACGAACCCCTCAGATTCGGCCTGGGCACACACCGCACACTGATTTAGGTGCTTTTCCAACCTTCTTGGTGTAAAGGTAAACAATCCTGTTGCCAGGGGTTCGAGACAGCCTAGTTTTGTTGGAGGCTGTGTTGTAGGAGAGCCTACGACGGCATGTCAAACGCTGGACCATTCTGAGTGCCTCTAAGCACCGTCCCCGGAAGAGGAAAAAGGCATAATTTTTTTTAAATAGGCAAATTACGTCTGGTTGTGAAAACTCCAGCTAAGGGCTGTGAATTCTAAAGCAATAAAGGTGGAGTACACAGTCTATAATCATCTTATATAGAGATTTCAATTGAGAATGTTAACACTGATGAACCACACTAACCAGATGACCTTAATTTGACTTTTCCCAGTTGTAAACCTAAAACTCAAAGAGATAGTAAGGTTTCTTTGTTGACATTCAAAAGTTATGTCTTAACCCCTTGTAACCTGGTATATTAAGAACAGCTTGAACCCTTGTCATCTATGGACTCATCCAATGATCTCATTTAACAAATACAAAAAAGGATAAGTAGGGGTGAAACTTCACTGAACAATTCTCTTAAAAAGCCACCCAAATTAAAAATAAATAAATAAATAAATAAATAAATAAATAATTTTTTTAAAAAAAAAGCCACCCAAATTAAATAAAAACACTTTACTTAGTGAGATAACCCGGACCCAAAAAGATGAACATGGTATGTACTCACTCTAAGTGGATTCTAGCCCTAAATAAAGGACATTGAACCTGTAATTTGTGATCCTAGAGAAGCTAAATAAGAAGGTGAACCCAAAGAAACACACACACACACACACACACACACACATATATATATATATATATATATATATATATATATATATATATATATAGTTATCCTCCTGGATATTGGAAGTAGACAAGATTGCCAGGCAAAAGTTGGGAGCATGGGTGTGGGTGTGGGGTGGGGGGAAGGGGAGATGGGGAGAGAGAAGGGAGAAAGGGAGGATTGGGCAGAGCTTGGGGGAATGGGATGGTTGGGATGGAGGAAAGGTGGATATGGGAGCAGGGAAGTAGATATCTTAATTATGGGAGCCATTTTAGGGTTGGCAAAAGACTTGACTCTAGAAGGGTTCCCAGGTGCCCAAGGAGATGTCCCAAGCTTGTTCCTTGGGCAGCAGAGAGGGTGCCTGAACTGGCCTTATCCCATAGCCACAGTGATGAATATCTTGCATATCACCATAGAACCTTCATCAGACGATGGATGGAGATAGAGACAGAGACCCACATTGGAGCACTGGACTGAGCTCCCAAGATCCAAATGAGGAGCAGAAGGAGGGAGAACATGAGCAAGAAAGTCAGGACCGCGAGGGGTGTATCCACCCACTGAGACAGTGGGACTGATCTAATGGGAGCTCACCAAGGCCAGCTGGACTGGTACTGATGGAGCATGTGATCAAACCAGACTCTCTGAATGTGGCTGACAATGAGGGCTGACTGAGAAGCCAAGGACAATGACACTGGGTTTTGATTCTACTGCATGGACTGGCTTTGTAGGAGCCTAGTCTGTTTGGATGCTCACTTTCCTAGACCTGGATGGAATGGGGAGGACCTTAGACTTCCCACAGGGCAGGGAACCCTGACTGCTCTTAGGACTGGAGAGGGAGAGGGAGGAGGAGTGGGGTAAGTGAGAGGAAAATGGGAGAAGGTGGAAATTTTTAATAAATAAATAAAAGAAAAAAAAGCCACCCAAATCATAAACATGGCTATTATTAAGACACTTGACTTACTTTATACCTAGTTGTCCTGAGAATCTTTGTGGCGTGGTTCAGAATCCCAGCATCAATGACAAAAATTCACTGAAAGAACTGGGGCTGAGACAGGCAGCAGCACACAACCGTATCTTCTCTTCCAACTCCTGCTGCCACTGACAGGATAGCCTGGACCTCCCAATACTCCTGCTTCAGCCTCTCAAGTGGTAACACTGCATGTCTGTCACCCTTGGGTAGCATTTTAAATTACTGCTAGATATTGCCTCATTGTCCCGAGAAACTGTTGTACCGACTTCTATTCTCACCAGCATTGTGAGAATGTCTTAACCCTTACCAACAGTAAAAATGATCACTCTCCCCCACACCTCTGTCATTCAGTACCAAGGACTGAGCCCAGAACTTGCCATATGCTAGGCAAGTGATCTAATATCCAAATACATCTCATTCAAAGACTATGTGGCTCTCCTTTGTAACAGAGTTAGTAAAAGGAGATAATCAACAAAGTTCTAAAGGCTTGAAAATAACCGCAGATCAAAGATTTCGAAGTCAGCTTTTGTTTGTGAATTATTCGTCCACACCACTATTTAAGGACTTTGAAAACATTAGATGTGTTATGTTCATAGGAGGATACTGTTATTTTAGATTTCCTTACTATCTGCATTCTTTATCATGTATATGACTGTCCAGTTGCATGGAAGGGACCAGAGCTTCCATCATAGAAAAATATGTCCACTATATAGAATAATCTCACTAGTAATTCTAGCAAATAAGTAACTTTTCTAAATTTATTGAGATTTTAATAGGTTTTTGAATGTGGTTCAAACACAGACTTTTGTAAGTACTAGGCATAGGCTCTATTGTGGTCCTTTCTCCCTAGCTGGAAATAGAAAATATTTTTGGTTACTTTTAAATTCCTATCAACATCATTCAGAAAATCCAAATAACAGAAGTTTGTTTAGTTATTAATCATACAAGCTGTATCATGTCAGTCCTGAATTTAAATGTGCTTTTCAATGATTTTATGGATATTTTTATAATTGTTCTAGAGAAAAAAAATAAAAATTATCTTAAAAATTAAATGGCTGGAGATATAGCTCAGTTGACTGAGTTACTTGTCTGTACTCATGAGGTTCAGAGTTCAATCCCCAGCACTGCATAGAATGAATATAGTTCACATGCCTATCATCCTAATACTTCTGAGTCAGTGGCAAGAAGAATAGGAGGTTCAAGATTATCCTTGGCTATAAACCAAGTTTCTAGTTCTAATGGTAGTAAGGAAATATCAACTACCCACTATATAAACACAAAGGATGAAGGAATAGAACCTGAAGCCAAGTGAATATCCTCATGTGTATTTATTTCCCAAGGACCCGAGGCCCCTGTGCATTAAAGTCTTTATCTGCTGACCTGCAGATGACCTGTTTCACCCTGGTCCTCCACCACTGAAGAGTTAGCTTCCTATCACACAGCAAAGACCTTCAGCACACAACATTCAGAGCTACAGCTGGGTAAGTCCTGCCCTTAGTCTCTCCAGCGATGTCCGCACTGAGCATTGCAGCACTTGTAGAAGGTGGTCATTGGCTCATCTGCGGAACGGGTCTGAAGCTGCATGAAATAGGCACGGGGATGTTCACATTTTGGACATGGCTCTGACAAAGAGAAAAACAAGTCATCCACATTACACAAATACTGTTAAGTATGGGTAAATATCTCATCCCCGCATTCATCCAGACTACTTTGCCAATGGTAAATTTGCCAATAGCAACATCCTACCCACAGCACACCAATACTAGGGGGACTGGAGAGACTGTGACTTTGAAAGCACCTCCCTAGTATCACTTTCTTTCTCAAATTTTATTGAAGACTGGCTGGAAGCATAGCATGGGAAGGGTCTTTTATAGTCTGTTTTGTGGGGCTATAACAAAAATACCTGCCCAGTGTGGTAGCACACAGCTATAAAACCAGCATTTAAGAGACTGAGACAAGAGGCTTGCTATAAGGCCAGCCTGGGCAACATAACAAGAGTCTATCTCAAAAATAAAGATTAAAAAAATTAAGCCCCTACTCATTTTCCATTTTCAAGGTTTTTTTTTTTTTTTTAAGATTTATTTATTTATTATGTGTACAGCATTCCTTCCATGTATGCCCGCAGGCCAGAAGGGGGCGCCGGGTCTCATTATAGATCCACAATGTGGTTGCTGGGAATTGAACTCAGGACCTCTAGAAGAGCAGTCAGTGCTCTTAACCACTTAGCCATTTCTCCAGTCCTCATTTTCAAGGTTTTTGTTGTTTGCTTTTATAAAACAAGTTCTTGGAGTTGGCCCCAAGGTCACTAGGTAGCCAAGATGACCTTCAGCTCCTGATTATTTCAGTCCCCACCTCCCAAGCTGTACTAGCACACCTAGCTAATTCTAACTTTTAACATAAAATTGTATATTTCCTTATAGAGAAAAAGACTGCTAATCACACATGTGCCTTCCTTCTCAAACAGATAATATTTAGGGCCCTATTCTTTCTTTCCATTATCACATTTAAGTCTATCAAACATAAATCTTTTAATTTTTAAAAATTATTTTATGTGTATGTTTTGTTAGTGAGTATTCTATGAACCATGGATGCCAGTAGAGGACACTGGATCAAGATGGAAATCACCGAGTCATCTCTCCAGCCCTACTTTTTCTGTTTGTTTTTCAAGACAGGATTTCTCTATATAGTTTGGAGCCTGTAGACCAGGCTGGCCTCAAACTCACAGAGATCTATTTGTCTCTGTCTCTTGAGTGCTGGCACCACCCAGCTTCCCCAAAACTATTTACTGATTGACAGATTGATTGAGATAGGGTTGAGAGTACTGGCTTACAAGCTTGAGCCACCATACTTCGCTTCCAGCTATAAAACTTTTAAATCCATATAGAATAAAAAAGACCAGAGATGATCATTTTTTCAATAGTGGTATTTGAAAATACATACAACAGAGTTCTCCTAAGAAGCCTATACCTACGAGAGCATGGATGACTGCCCTCTATGTATCTCTCTGCCCTTCTCAACAACCATCAATATTTAAGTTGAAACCAACACTGAAACTTTTTTGTAATAAACTCCAAATTTGCTTCAAAATGAGAATATATACCAGATTTTTATACTGGTGTAATCTGACCTGGAGAATCTAAATCAAACAATGGAGTGGGTATCAATGTGGTGATTTCCCTTGCAGAATATCTTTCCTTGAAAGAACCTACTTTAAATTTTTTAATACAGCCAGGTGGTGGTACACACGCCTTTTAAACCTAGAACTTGAGCCGGGCGGTGGTGGCGCACACCTTTGATCCCAGCACTCGAGAGGCAGAGGCAGGCGGATCTCTGTGAGTTCGAGACCAGCCTGGTCTACAAGAGCTAGTTCCAGGACAGGCTCCAAAGCTACAGAGAAACCCTGTGTCGAAAAACCAAAAAAAAAAAAAAAAAACACCTAGAATTTGGCAGGAAGGCAGGTGAATCATCTAAGTTCGAGGCCAGCATGGTCTACAGAGGAGGTCCAGGACACACAGGGCTACACAAAGAACTCCTGTCTCAAAAAAAAAAATCCACAAAAAACAAAAATCAAACAAACAAAAAAGTTTTAATGCCTTGCTTAGAGTTGAAGGAACGACTACATTGTAACTAAAACATATCATCAAATACTTCCTGTAGTGGCAAACACAAGCTATTTGTAATTACTGATATTTGCCATTATTTATATTTCCTTAAATTCTTTCATACTTACTGGGGGAGGGTGGAAAACAACTTTTCATGAATCAGCTATCTGAGCTCCAAGGATCAAACTCAGGTTGACAGGTTTGGCAACAAGAGCTTTTACCCGCTAAACCATGTCATTGGTCCTAATAATATAAAGGGTTGTATTATAATAAATGCATTATTATTAAATATAATAAGGAATAATAAACAGGGTTGAGTCACTGGCTTTGTAATGGAAAACTTCCCACCTGCAGTGGAGTCCACGTTCTCCCAGGCAGCTGCTCCCCCAAGCACATCATCCACCTCTTTCAGCTTTGGATACTTTCGGTTTGTTACCTGACAAAAATAAACCAAAGATTTCAAGTAATCATACAGTTTAAAAGGTGGGACACCAAACCATAACCCCTCTCCAGCATTTCCTCTACGTGGTAAACGGATACAAAATTTATCTTCTTCAGAGAGCACCAAAAGCCATTAAAATGTTGGGATTTTATGACTGGGATGTTCCCAAAACAACCCAGAGGTCCAATGTCAGAGCCCTCTAGAGACTGGAGGAAACACCAGGCAGAGCAGAAAGAAGAGTTGAGTTAAACCCTACTCTTTTCTCATACCCCTAAAACACCTAATAATCCAATATGAAAGACACAGAATAAGCCTAGCAGTATCATTTATCTGGGTATCTCAGCATTCCCCGGGGACACATTTGGCTGCTTTCCTAAGTTTAGCAGTCAATCTCTCAAACTTCGAAACTAAGTCACCATTCATCTTATCACAAATCCAGACTCTAAACTCCATATAGCTCTAGGAAAGTGCAAACATTAAGAATGAGGGTGGTGGTGGCACACGCCTTTAATCCCAGCACTCGGGAGGCAGAGGCAGGCGGATCTCTGTGAGTTCAAGGCCAGCCTGGTCGACAAGAGCTAGTTCTGGGACAGAGAAACCCTGTCTCGAAAAACCAAAAAAAAAAAAAAAAAAAAGAATGAGGTGTCACCAAGGCCTGGTGATGCCATCTGCAATCACAGAACTCAGGACACCAAGGTAAGGAGGAACAAGAGCCGAAAGGTAAACAAAACACCAAGGGCTGAAAACGCAGCTTTCTGGGTTCCGACACAAGCACCACACACACAAAGCAGCAACAATGACATATATTAGATGACAGTGAATCCTGGGAAAAAGATAACAGGAATGAGGATAAACTGGGAGAACTGGATTGTGGTTTGTTTACTTAATTTTCATATATATATATATATATATATATATATATATATATATGCCATGCAGCCCAGGTGAACCTTGAACTTATTCTCCAGCCACAGCCTCCCCAAGTGATAGAATTATAGGCACATACCAACAGCCAAAAAGGCTGGAATTTAAATAGGGTAGTCATTATTTTAAAAGATAAGGAGAGAGATAAAGGAAAAGGAAGAGAGAAACAGAGAGATATACACACACCCAAAAAAGAGAGAAAGGGGCGAGGGAGGGAGGGGGGATGGGGAGAGAGAGCCAAAAGAGCTACAAAAAGAACCTAAAGATTTGAGATGAGAGGTGATAAGCGGACTGGAGTCTGGCACGCCGGGAACAGCATGTGGGGACTGAAGGTTTTAAAAGCGTGGTTCAGCCTAGAGGTATGAACGGAAATTCTCGCAACTTTTTTGAGTGTCACAAAACGAGCAGCACAGAGCCGGAGGCAGAAATCTCTGTAGTAACCAAAAGAACGGCTTCGATTTGGTCGGAGCGACGCCACTGGATTAGCAACTGCTGGACTTGGGGAACCGCCGCTGCGAGAGACAAAAAACCTACCGCCCGCAGGAAGGTCTGAGCGCAGACAGCCGAGGAGGCGCTCGCCTCTGGTACTCACCTTGCGTGTGATATTATGCACGTAGGGGCAAGTGTTGCAGGCGAAGCGATGGCAACGCTGTCCTTCCTCCACAATCAGTCCGTTTCCGCAGCTCGGACAGAAAAGCAGCATTGCTCCAGCTTCAGCGTAAAGGTTCTCAATGTCTGGCGCTTCCGCCGCCGCAGACGCCCATTGGAATCGGTCATTGGTACGTTCCCAGAAGGCACTGCGGCGGGCAGCCTCGCGCACGCCATTGGTCAACGCAGATAATCCTTCCCTAGCTTTCCGTACAGGGCCTGCGCGTGCGCACGGGGCTCTCTGCCTCGAACACCAGCTGTTGACAGGAGAAGGCTGGCGGCGGGCGGCCCTGAAGTACCCTGGATCGGAGGGAGGTACCGGGTGATGAGAAGAAACTGCCACACGCTGAGCCGTGGAAGGGTTCCAGGAGGGTCTCTGAGCCGGGACTGACAGGCAGAGCCTACCCAAATGTCTCAACTGCTGTCTGCCTAACGTATGGATCCGTTTAACCTTTTCTTCACCTGGTCTTAATTCTGTCATTTCACTTAGCTAGATTCAGCACTACAGACCAACTCTGACCTACAATACCAGCAGTTCCTCTCCACAGACCTCCAGCTGGTTCTTTTACTCGTTCCTATAGACTTCTTTACATTTCCCAGCTCTCGTTTCTCAGACCTCTTTGAAATAAATGCCTTTCCTAGTTAATTCTCTGCAGTCAACCTACACGGGGGGGGGGGGGGGGGGCGGAGGAGTGAGTCCTAGTTGCTTTGTTTTGTTGTTTTTTGTTAACTTTACACAAGTTAGTTATCTGGGAAGAGGAACCCCAACTGGGAAAATGTCTCTATCAGACTGACCTGTAGGTAAGTCTGCGGGCATTTTCTTGAACGTAAATTGATAGAAGAGGTCCTAGCGCATTGTGGGCAGTGTTACCACTAAACCAGTGTTCATGAGTGAAATAGGAAGGCAAGACGATAGAGCTGGATGGTTTAGCCTTTAAGAGCACTTGTTCTGCCCTGCAGTAATGGCACGCGCTTTTAATCCCAGCACTTGGGAGGCAGAGGCAGGTGGATCTCTTGAGGCCAGCCTGGACTACAGAGTGAGTTCCAGGACAGCCAGGGATACACAGAGAAATCCTTTTGGGGGTTGTGGGGTGGAGAACTTGTTCTTGCAGAGGACAGAGATTCGATTCCCAGCACCCATAGGGTGGCGTCATAAATGTCCATAAAAACTCCAGTACCACAGGATCCAAAGCCCCTTCTGACCTCCATGCATGCCTATGGTACAAAAACATACACTCGAGAAAAACACCTGTACACATAAACAAATTTCAAAACAAAATGGAAAAAAAAAGGAAAGCAATATAAGCAAGCCATGAGCAAGCAAGTAAGCAGCATTTCTCCATGGTCACTGTTTCAGTTTCTGCACTGGCTTCAATAAACAATGAACTGTCATCTGTAAGCCAAACAAACCCTTTCTTCTCCAAATTGCTTTTTGTTCATGGTGTTTTATTACAGTAATAGAAACCTAAACAAATATACATACTGTGTGGCTTTTAATGTGTGATTTAAGAATAAGTTCTTTAATATTTTTAAAAACTTTTTGTCAGCCACGATTACCAAGGAAAACAGGAATACTTCACAGTTGCTTTCACTGAAACTGTTATATCTTGTGAATTTACTGTTATTAAATAAACTCTGACATTGTAAAGACATAAATATGTTTGTCTATGATTCTGATATGGCACAATCATGGCAACTGTGAAAATCATCTTACTAGGTGTGTATGAAATGCACTGTCTTAAATATAGAAAGGTTAAATTTTACAACTAATTATTTTATTTTTTGATGTTTTATTTTTATTTTGCCTGCATGTATGTCTATGTACCTTGTGCACACAGTGAATGCAGAGGCCAGACAAGGGCATCAGATATCCTGGAACTGGAGTTAGTCAGTTGTGAACTAGAAATGCAGATGCTAGAAATGGAACCTAGGTCCTCTAAATATAAGAGCAGACAGAGCTCTTATTTTATTATTTTTATTATTTATTATTTTAATAAAGATGAATCTAAATGTTAAAAATTGCATAGTTATAGTAGTGTCTCTGAGCCTACTCCTAACATTATCCCCTGATTGCCTTCCATTTGCATGTCAGAGCTGGGAAAGAATGATTCATCAGACATAGCTGTATATGTTCTCTCATCAGCCCAATGGTGAGCTCCAAGTCACATTCTCTAGGACACAAAAAAAAAGTGTCGCTCAGATTCTTTGACAGGTTGGAAACTGACATGGGCATGATGGATTTTCATAAAGACAGAGTGAGGAGCTGTCATGAACCTGAAGTTCTACCATCTCGCTTCTAACTTTAGTTATGAAGAACTGACCTAAAATACGGCTGGATGGTAGAGAGTTACATACAGTGATAGCCTGGGCAGCATCAGGTGAAATCTACCATGTAGACACTGGAGGCCAGTGCTCAGCACCTGCACAAGTATCCTCCTTGTACCCAAGTACTTACAGATGAGGGGGCTAAAGAGTGGAGCTTCCAGAGAAGGTCTCTGCTGGCAACTGTTTCTTTGAGGGATTCTTGATGGGATGATGAATTTGTGGGTTCTGATCAAGTCTGCATGTGGAAAATATAGGCAATGATGTGATTTCATAGTGGGAGACCTGGCTTGCTCCCTGGAAGAGTCAAATACTAGATCTGTTCATTAACTTGACAGTAAGGACAGGGTCCAGAACAAAGCTCTAATGCCTGCTGGACTTCTCCCACTAGTGATATCATTTCCTGTTCTTTATGCTACTAGGAACTGAGAAGCAGCTCAGTCAGGTGGGAGACCCATCATTATCTCATGCAAGGATTCTTGACCGACAGTAGAAGTGTGAAAACAGGGTTAAGAAGAAATCTCTTTGGATGAGTGGACAGATATCAGCCTGCTGAGATGCTTTAAGAGAATCACCACATAAATAATAATATTTCCTCTGAATCAAGCAAAAATAACAAGTATCTATATAAAAAGTATCCATATTAATCATTAAATTTTTTAAATATTATGGAGTGGTCAGAGTGTCAACTTGATTTTTCCATCAGTCTGGATATTTTAAAGGTTCTTAATATTGTTTTTTGTTAATTAAATGAAAACAGGCTCTTTTACAGACTCTTAGAATTATGTACTGTTTTGAAGGTTATCTGATGGGTGATGGATTTTGATGGCCAATTTGAATCTAGTTTTGGGATGGCATCTGATAAACTCACTTCTACATGTGCTGGATATGCCAACACTAGGGTGTTTGCAGGTGTGGAATAATTACACAATGTAAAAAAAAAGGAACTGACATTTGGAACATGTACAAACTGCAATCCCACTGAACAGAATGGAATTTTAGCAAGACGTAAATGTAACCAATTCCATACTCAACACAGAAGCAATGCTGAGAATAAAATGTCTTAACTACTTTTTTATTGATTCACTTGAGTTCCCCATGTGTTTCATCTCATTGAAAAAAAAAACAAAACAAAACAGTGTTTCTAAAGTTCTTGGATTTTTGACTTTAAGTTGCACATTGGCAAATCTATTTTTATGTATACCTTTGATTCTTACATTAAAACAGAAGTCACATGTTTAAAAATAACCACTCCTTAAAACAAAAGCAGTTATCAATGTTGTTTACAATACAAATCCTGAAGACATTTGATTACATTAAGATTTAGTAGTCTAAAAAAGAATGCGGTACATTATACTAAATTCTGGCAACAAAGTGTGTTTACTCACAAGAAAATTCCAATTCTTCCCTGGTTTTATAAAGACCAATCTATTTCTCACATGTTATAACTCTATTCAACTGAATTATGATTTAAAATGCAGAGTGATAACAACTACAAAATATAAATACAAAATGCTAAGAAAAGTTTAACATGTAAAGGAAAATGTCTCATGCATTATAATTTTTTTAATCCAGCATAAAGGCAAATGTGGTTTTTCAAAATGCAGCCCACATTCAATCACAGGAAAAAATTCAGTCAAGCCACCTAATATACAGACTTTACAGATTTATTTAAATTTATGTTCTAAATTCCAGTAACAAAAGTCTACCTAACAATTAGAGTTAACATCAACTAAGATCTACAAACCACAAACATTTGCAAGCCAAGTTAGAGCATGCATTTCTCTCTGAAAGAAAAGAAGCCTGACGTTTAGTTAAAAGGCAGGTAAAAACAACTATGAACTTTCTTTAAATAGCTTATATTTAAAGTAATGTAAGTGTACATTATATTTATAATATAGGGCAATATATGTTTTACCAACTATACATGCAGACTATACTGTGTGGTAAAATGATTCAACAACTTAAAAAAGAAAAAGAAAAAAGATCCAAAATATCCATTTAAGCTGGAGAAATCACAAATCAAACCTCTCCCTGCAAGTCATGTGAGGCTAACCTGAAAATAAATCATAAAATCTCAGTACTTAAATCCTAAATTAACACTCTAATTTGGGTTTATTGTTAACAATTTACACTATTCTTTTCTTTGGGTTAAAAAAGATTTTTTTTTTAAGAGCCAGCTTTTGGAATCAGCAATGTAACTTCAAGTCCTGCCCTCTGACAGCCAGAAAGGTTGCTTTTTAAAAAAAATATTGATAGTTCTCAACACCAACACCCTGGAGATAATAAATTTCACAACTCACTGGGTTAAACTGCTCTAATGCAATGGAGCTAGTAAAATACATATATCTGTTCTTAAGAAAATTTACAAAACTAACAATTTTTTTCTAGAATTATAAAAGATAAAAATCTATGAATTGATACTCTAGTATGATCACAGAAAGATAGCAAACTAAAGTCAAGAAGTATGCAGGGAGGGGGCTGTCTGTAACACCCTGCAGTCTCTCTACTTGCTCTGAAAATTCCCATTTAAATACCTTAGAAACCTGTTTTGGTCTTTGCAATTCAGTGACTAGCTTATCACTCACACATTTTTTTTAAGTAAGAAAAACTTGTTTTCTTTTTAGACTATCCTGTAAGAGATTACTTGATGGTGGTTCCTATCAAGTAACAGAGGGCTTGAGGGAGAGAGGGTCAACTACTTAGAAGCCTTTGGAAATTTCAGAAAGACATCTGGCAGTTTTGTATTTTATTCCTCTTCCTCCTGCATCTCATTTTCTTTTCCTTTTAAAAATTTCAAGTTG